GCGGCCCGGCCCCGACACCTGTTAACTGGCAGATGTCCGAGAACGGTCCTCAGCTCGCCCTGTTTCGGGGAAGAGGTTGCATCTGTTTGGTTTTGGTGCTCGTGGCACCATCGAGGCGATTAGAGTTGGAGCTACTTCACCTGTAGCCACTGGAGGAAAAGGTAGCAGCGTTACAAATTCTCAACGAAACACGTTGCTTTCTTTGGGTGCCCAACGAAATCTTCACGTTCTCTACTCTTAACTTGGATTCCCTGACCATACTCGGGGGCAAAAATGTTTACCTTTAGATCAAGGTGTGTGTGGTACTTCAGGGGTAAAGCACAGGTCATAGCTCTGATTAAAAATTAAAAAAAAAATTTAAATCCGTGTCAGAGGCACCGCATTAATTTGCGGAAGCTCAGGAAAGATTCGGTAAAATAACCTCATTCACTGCACAGCTTTTCAGTACTTTGTAGTAGCTACTGAGGGTAGATGGAGATAGCATTTCTCTAACTTGTGACCTAACAAAAATCCTTAAAGCTGTAGGGCATTAAACGTGAGCGGAAATTACAGGTAAATAGATCCGGAACGTCAGTAAATTCATGTAGGGTTACATTGGAGACCAAATAAACTGAGTAGTTTCATTTCATGTGTCTAAAGAAAATCACTAGTTTTATTTTTTCATGTATAGAAGTTTCCAAAGCGAGTGATGTTTTTCAGTTGTGAAAGTGATAAATTCATTGCTTACTCTGGCAGAATGAATTAATGTTAATGTTTTAAGTACTGACAGGCACTGAGGCTTTAGAGATACAGAAATTAAATGTATTGGATGTATAGATGTAGTTAATATGTACGTTATTGGTAAAGAAAGTCTGTATCATTACTATTCAAGACCAAAAAAAAAAAATCACTTGGCTTCTGATGCAGAATTAATTTAAGAATAGCAATAAGATATCTTTATAAAATCTTCAGTTGAAAATTGAACAAGTTTTGAAGTTACTCTATATTTTCCACAATTCAGTCTTCCTTCCCCTATACATTTTAATGTTTAAAATGAAAATGAAGAGTTCATTAAGTTTAAGGGATCTTTATATAATTAACAACCCAAAACAATACTTCAAGTAAAAATCACCAACTAAAAAGTGAATAATTATTAATAATGCATTCCTCATTTGACAACCAACAGTTGTTATCTTTAGGAAAGAATATGTTTGACTAAATGTTTGGGTTTGTAAAGTGTACTCTTGAAAAGGAGTTTTGGAGGGCTGTGTGTGATTGTGTGATTCTTGAAAATGCAGTTATACTTAGTCATCCTGTTAGTGTTTCTTGATAGCAGGAAAAAAAAAAAGAATTGGACTTTTTTTGGAGGAGAGGAAGAGGGAACATGCTCTTTTGAACTAATTGTGCTTTAAGGTTGAATTGGATTTTACTCTAAACAGGTGAGATCAGCCTTTTAAAATAACTATTTTCCCTCAAACCTTTAGTAGCTTAGGTGAAATACAGTTGCATAAAATAGCCAAAGTAGAAGCTGCTTTAAATATGTCCAGTTTTCCTTGGGGAGGGGGCAGGGACAGAGCATAGCAGCTTATGGTGTGTTCACAACTAAAATGCATACCCCTCTAATTATGAAACTGTACACTCATGTTTCTAGGACAGTTACCTCAGTGATATTTTGGAATGCTTCCAATCAAATGGGACTTAGGTTCAATTTAAGCTATGATGATCCATCAAAAGTTAAACACTAGAGTTCT